GGTCTTAGTAAGCGCTGGTGGAAGAAATTTTAGAGGCAAGAGAATTTGGCTTTTTGTACACTTCTGTAATTGTTAAATATTTTAGAAAGATGATAGGAAATTTCAGTATTTATGGGACAAGTACACAGGATTGAATTAAACTTCAAGGTCTGGGAAAGGGTGCTCATCAGCCTAACAAAATCTTCAAACAAACAAACAACAAAAAAATCATACACTTTCCTTTTTCTGTATAAACTGATTAATAGGTTTTAATGAAGAAGATAAAAAGATTAAGGGGGATAAGGAAGGTATAATGGTTCTGCATAGTGAAAGACTCAGAGAATTTGAAAGAGTATTATTGGTGTCATTTTCAATACAACAGAACAGTGAGTCATTTGTAGATTGTGAAAACTTTAATTACGTGATAAATGTAAATATTTACTAAATCATAGAGTATTAAAATAGGTTGAAATGAATCATACAGTTCCCACTTCAGAGTAGTTGTGTCAGGATGTCTAGGAATCCAGCTCTAATACAGTAACCCTTGAGTATGATCTGAGTAATCAAGAGACCTTTCCTTTTTTTTTTTTTTTTTCCCCCCAGTTTTTAAAAATCTGTATGGACCTTGCATAATGCAGATTCTGGGTAAATCTTGAAAGGCCCTGTACAAATGAACTTCTAGCAAATTGCTTTGGAAAGGTGTTGCTTCTTATGAACTGAAAAGTATTGATAGTGTCTAGGGTTATCTGAAGGTGAAAGATTTGGACAGGATGTTGTCCAGTCAACAACAGAGCCTCATAGAAGTCAACTTCATATTTTGAAGGAAAGAGATAGGCGAATTAGTGGTGGATGGAACTGACTCAACATTTAGGGAACAAAATGAATACGGTGCTGTTTGTATCTTCTAAAACTGTTTATTTAAATAATTTTTGGAAGTTTCAGTTGAGGAGGTTTGAGTTGGCACAGTTTTTATAGGATACTGTAGTGTTGACAACATTGTTTCTCATGTCTTCAACTCTAGAAACAGTGTACTGTACTTCCACTTTGTTATAAATAGCATGCCAATTTTGAAATGCTGATAAAACTAGGTTCAATATTCAGCCTTTGGTTTCCAATAAAGGGCACATAATAGGAGTGTGATTTCTGCAAATTTTTTTGCTTAAAGTTGTAGATAAATCTTGCTATAAACTACTCGGTAGATTTGCTAGAAAAGCTTGTGATTGAGTGCTATGTATGCTTGCCTTTTTGCTTCCACCTAGAATCCAGGGCCATTACTTTCTGTAACCATTTCAGTGAGCTGCCATAGTTTTCAGTCTGTACTGTCACCTGATCCAAGCATGCGCCAAAATACCCACTGTTTCTGGCTACTGTCTGCTGAATCTGCTTTGCAAACCCTTAGTTCTTAAGCTTTTGCCTTAGCAAAAAATGACAACAGACACTCTTACATAGTGTACTGGACACATGCCATCCTGCTTCCCTAACTCCTCTAATTGTTTCTGTAAATCCTTAGCTTTACTAAACTTGTAAATGCTACAATGGCATCCCCATGTGAAATTGTGTGGCTCATGTGTCAAAAAAGGCTGCTTGTGAAAATATTTGTCAGAAGAATATGAATGCTACACATTGCACTGCATTCAGTGTTTTGTATCAATATATTATTGCAATGTCGTGGTGTTTGATTTTAATTGTAGACAATAATTTTTGTGTGTTAATATGCAAAGGTAAGTTCACGTAAACGGTGAATGTACAGTATTTTTATATAAAGATACTGATTGTACTTTTGGCCTCTTTTCTGGAGGTAAAAAAAATACTCTATTAAATGTCTTAAGCAGAGGAACCACTCTACAAACAATTGTTATATGCATGACTCGTATTAGAAATTTGTGAACATTTGCAATGAGAATTGTGGGATTTTTTTGAAAGATACTAGGCCTCGTTCTGTTAACACTGAAGTCAATGGCTGGAAAATTGTTCTTATCTCTAATAAGAGTGAAAATGACCCATTATATTACTGTAGTTAATAGTTTTGTTAATTCTGATGTTGAACAGATTCTCATATTACAGGGTTAAATGTTGCTTTAGCCAACATAGTGTTGAGCAACCTCACAACAATATGTGCTCTCCGTTATGGTAAGACATTTGCAGATAACTTGGGTCAGAAAATAGTTTAACTCTGTTAGACACTTGTTCCTCCTTTATAAATTTTTGTGGAGAAAAGTTATATGTTTGCATACAGTTTGGGACCTGTCACTACTATTTATGCCTTTTCTGTTCTTCTCTAGCATATCTGTTCCCTTTCAGCATTTCATTCTGTTTCAGTTTTTACTGTGTCTACATACCTTTTCAGTGTCATATTCTTGTTTGTAATCTTACTCTTTATCTCATAGCACTTTTCCTGTTCATCCCCAGTCACTTAATCTGTTGCTCACTTTCAGTTCCTTCATGACTTCACATTTTCTTGCACTTTTTGTCATAGAGAAGTCATTGGTGACAAGTAGGAGCAGTTTTTGCCAAATGGTACCTAAAGGTGTGTAGAAAAAAGTGGTGATTCAGTAAAATTGGCCTTTTCATCTTTATGTATAGGAAAAAGTTATTTCTCCTTTGCAGGGTTTTTTTCTATGAAGTACAAAAATTTGTGTGGCTGTTCAGTCAATGTTTATAGCCTGTGATCTAGTCTAATTGAGCAAGAATTGTTCTGCATAGTCAGTGAACCACTTTTCCAGCTCCTTATGCTTTTCTGTTAGAGAAATAAACACACATTGATAAACAGTATTCCCATCTGTGATTGGATGGGGAAGGAGGAATTACTCCCAAGATCCATGTCCCTTCCACCAGAATGTGCTTGTGGTCTCACATCTCCCATACAGCTCTTCATTTTGTCAGATGTTGTAGCTTTTGCCTTAAAATGGATTTCCGAAGTTGCTCCCGTCACCAGCCACTGTTGCCATTATCTGGTGGCAGCAATCACAGCCTCTCTTCAAACAGAGGTGCACATGCAAAAGAGAAGATATTTTGCCTCCTACTTTCCTTTGTGTACCACAGATGATTCTGGTAACTGAGCTTGGGAACTCCAGCCTTGTGCTGTGATGGGTTCTTTCTGCGCAATTTCCAGGTTTTGAAAGCTGAAAAGTCTGAGACCTTGCTAGCAGGTACTCCAGCCATCTGAGTCATCGTTACTGTATATCATCTCCAACATTTGATTTTTCCAGTCAATGCAAGTGTTTAAACAGTGTTTCCACATCTGAGAAACAACGAAGTGCAGTGCCTCAAGATTCTACTAGTAATGCGCTGAAACCTGCTGAAAGTGAACTCAGCTATAATGGAACATGATTGATGCTGTTCATGAAAATTCTTAGTCTGTTTTGTGTCTTAATGTTTTTGCCTTGGTTGTGGAGAACCTTCCTAAGAACTATCACTGTAGGTTTGTTTTGGTTGGTTTGTTTTTTTTTTTTTCCTTTCCCTCCTGTTCATTGTTCATTTCTTAAAGCAAAAGTTGGATAAACTTCGGTCTGCACACCGAAGGCTGCTGTTAGTCAGTACAATGCTGAGAGATACGCAAGCATTGACAACCAAAGTTAGGTATAGTTGAATATGCATACCTCTGTGCTCTTTTTTTGTTCCTAATTAGAAAATTAGCATTAGTTTATTTTAGAGAGATGAAAACCTAGTTCTGAATGAAAAGTTAAAGTAAATTAATGAGTGATTACATCTTGCCGTACAATTTTTTTGTTTCAGTAAATTTCAAAATATGTTTGTATCTGCATCTTTCGTTTTTGTTTGTCACATTGTCAGAGAAATTAGTGTATGATATAGGATTATCATACACTATATTTCTAAATACCCCTGATAGTACAAAATTGGTTCCAAATGAATCTCAAGTTTTAACATTGATATTTTAAATTATGATTCGACAAGGAGATCTCAATGTCTACAAGTTTGTATCTGTGTGATTTCAGGGAAATTGTGTAAGAATCTGTCTACTTAGAAGAACCCTTTGTAGCATCTGAGTACCTAGTGTTTGTTACTGTGTTTCCCCTTATTTTATGTAATGACAATTAACATAGTTTTCAACTCAGTTCATTGGTACAGGTAAGCCATTTCAAAAGAAGAAACAGTTTACAAACTCTGATTGTTAATTACAATACTCGTTGACTTCATATGTAAAAAGCTTGTGAGATAAGAGCTTTAGTTCTGGGAAACTAATTGCTGAACAGTTAAAATAAATGGATTGAATAAACTTATTGTAGTAGCACTCTTTTGCATTTTTAATGTAGTAGTCAAGAAAAGCAGGTAGGGATACATTATAACATATAACCTCAAAGACAATAAAGGTAATTATTGGAGGGGAAGGTGGTGTTGCCAGGATACTGAAGCAAAAAAGCATCAACAAATACATAGTCAACAAGATATCTTGTACTTCTCAATGTTATTAATGTAGAAGTAGTTTCAAATACCTATGGCTTCTCAAAGTTCAAAGTGCTGAAATAAGGAGCACAGAGCTGTGTATTTGATTAGTGGTACAATCTTGAACAAACCTTTTTAAAATCAGGTTAACAGAGAGAACTGCTTGCAGTAGGAAAAACTATTGAGGTTATTTCAAAGATGTCAAGTGTATACCAAAGTAAAATATTACTTTATTACTACAAATACTGTTTCATTACTACTACTGCTAGTTTTTCAGTGTTGCAGAATATCTGTGATGCTTTGTTGCAAGTTAAATGCTGCTGTTGGAAACTGACATGGTCTTCAAATGGGCAGAAATTGATACAGTGTCTACAGTGATTTGGTGTTATCTGTCATATGGACAACAGCAAAAATGCAGTTCACATGGATGATAAACAAGAAAATTAATGAAAAAAAACCCATTAGTGTTTGCTTGAAGTATGATATCTAGGAAATAAAAAGTGTCCAGACACAACAAAGCAGTTGAATATGAAAAATTTGACTTTTCAGATTAATTGCATGATGCTTTATGTTGACATAGTGCAGAATAGTGAACTGATTTATACTTTGTTTTTCAGATGAACCGGAGACACGAGATGCATGGTGGGCAGAAATCAGACAAGAAATAAAATCCCATGCCAAGGCATTGGGTTGTCATGCCGTAGTCGGCTACAGTGAATCAACTAGCATTTGGTAAATCATGATGATGATTTGATTTTCAAAATACCACAGAAAATTTATTTCATCTTCAGTGCATTAAAAATGAGGAACTACTTCATCACAGTTATTGGTACTATCTAGTATATCTACTTTGGAGAGTTTGTTAAAGTAACCTTCTGAGATTTCACTACTGTGCTTTTTTCTTTAATGTGTTTTAGTTTGAGTTTTTATTGGGTTTTAATTTTTTTCTAATGAACACTACAATTTTGATTTTTTAAAAAAAATTCAAACCTATATATTGGCTTTTTTAGTAAGAATATTAATTTATTTATGAAGTTTTCTAAACTGAATCTAGCTGAATTATTAAGACAGTTCCTAAAGTGTATGTATTGCAGTTTCATTATTGGGTAACAACTGGCAGACCAGTACTTAAATGCTAAAATTAAAATTTAAGGCATAAGTTCTTTACTAGGTATGCATTAATTGTAATTTAAAGGAGAGCTCCCTGATAGAGCTAGAATTCTTGAGGTGTAAACATTCTGTATTTCTGGAAAATCTGTGTCATTATTTTTATCTTTCAGTACTACAGTAGTGTTTAACATCTTAAACTGCAGCTCTGCAGTAGTCTTTCTGAAGTTGAATTCCCCAGCCCTGCATAGTATTTGGGCCAAAGCTCCAGTGTCTCACTGTATTCCCTTTGGCTAAGGAAATTCCAGTCATGTATTTTGGTAGCTTAATAACAAACTTTGTGTGAGGCTCAGAGACTGGGAGAAGTAATTAGGGATTCATCTAGTTACTCATCTTTGTCTCTGGCCCGGCAAAGGTTGTGTGTCTTTCTAGCTCAGGAAAGTACTCTGTGAAGGGCTTGTCCTGCAGCCAAGTATGTCTGATTGGTATCAAACAGAAAATTGTTGTTTTGAATTCGTTTAGGAAGGTAACTGAAGCAAACTCGGACATCTAAATTTATTTTCTGTCAGGTTGATTTTGTGTAAATACTTTAAAGAAAAAGCAGTAAGGATCTGGGTTTCTTTTAAAGAGATAAGTTGAAAAAAGAAGTTTCATTTTAGTTTGTAATTGATAAGTTGAAGAAAAAAATACAGAGTCGCACGGTGCTTTCATGAGTGCACAGCATCTGTTAAAGTAGCAACATAACCTGAAATGATCAGTCTGAAAGCCACAGCATTGATTGCTTCACATCTGTTTCTCCTTCACATTTATTGCTTCACCACAGGTGGAAAAATAAAACCCACCAAATATATTGATCTTTCACAAAACCTGAAAACAATTTTTCTGTGTCAAGTGCTTGTGTTAGTAAAATAGGAAAACAGAAGAACTTACTTTACAGACAGGACATGGCTTGTATTCCTTATGCTGCCTTTTCTGGTTATGTCCTGTCTTGTTTTGGTGCATTAAAGACTATATTTACCTCAGAATTGCAGTGTGCAAGTTTCCATTACTGAGCAATGAACTTGCACTAAAAGTGGAATATTTATTAATTTGGCTGTCAGTCTCTTTGTAAAAAGCATTTTTTAAAAATCTAGCTTAACTATTAGGAAAGAATGCATAGACTATATATAGGCAGTCAGTTACTGGGTTATTTCACACTTTTAATTTTTCTTAAGGCATTTAATGTAGTATGCATAGGTGTGAGGACTTCACCATTGTAGGATGGTCATTGATAAAATAGTTTAGAGTTCCAATGCTTACTTGCACGTTCAGCTCTATTCTGTGCTTAAAGAGCAAGGCACTGTCTGTAAGTACTGGTCTGCCAGACATGTTATATATGAAAAATTATTCTGAAAAGAGAAATGACAAATAAAAAAAGGCACATGTATCATTCTAGGAAATGTGGAAAAGATTTTCTCTGTATTTTTTCCAATATAGTATTTTAAGTACTGAATGTTAGAGATTTGTTTCTTATTTAACAATTTCATAAATATTAAAAGCTCTGTGATCATAGTTTGCACTTATGAGAGCTTTAACCCTGCTAAATCGTGAATATGGGTCGGTTGCTTTACATGCTATATGCACCATTATTGTGGTTGTTCATAGCCAGATTTTACTGTTTTGCTACTTTTTATCCTCCCAAGATGCACCCTTGTCAGTGTGGTGGTGTAACTGCATTTTGAGAGTGAATGTTTATAAGATAAGGCTCTCAACTTCCATTTTACTTTGGTAAACAATTATGCCTTTTCTTTTAATGTTTCTTTGCTTTTTTTGGTTGGCTGGATTTCTTTGCATTATTAACCATGATATTGAAAGCCATACTTAAACTTGGTTAGCCTTGCGATGTTGTGTCATATTCTTTTTAACATAGGACAAAGCTCTTCAGTCATTCCATTCATTCTTTATGCATCTCTTATGTATACAATGGTTTAAATACTGGAAGAGGATTGTTTGTGAGATTTAATGGATAAAATTGCACAAATGCACAAAAATAGTAGTTATATTGAATTAATTGAGACTTTTGCACTAGCCTTTTAATTTAATAGTTTTAAATAAAAGTAACACTAAGTAGTAGGAGTTCACTTTGTTGTAATTCTTTTCTCTTGTAGTGAAGAGGTCTGTATTTTGTCCGCGTCTGGCACAGCAGCTGTACTGAACCCTAGGTTTCTTCAGGATGGCACCGTGGAAGGCTGTTTGGAACAAAGGTTGTCATGGCAGCCTGGCTTCTTTTCCATAGGGTCAGAGAAGGGAGAGTTTGATTTTTTTCCTCAAAGCCAAGATAGTTCTTCTCTATTAGGGTAGGTTACAGTGTTACAGTGCAGGATGCGGGACCAACCACTTTACTGCTTTTCACTAACAGCAACAACAACAGAAGTATTGGAACTCTGCACCAAATTAGATATTCTGTTTTTATGTCTAACAGTCTGAATAAGGTAACACATTTGACTACTAACCCCAGATCATAACTCAGTTTTTTTTCTTTGCTGCTCTTCAGGTATCTTTCTCAACTTTGTCACACTATAAGAAATGACAGATGTATGATAAATTACATAAGTCAAAACATGCTCTGACTTTAATATGTGTATACATGCTCTATATATACTGTTCAAGAACTGTATGGGAGATGAAATAGCTTGATTGTAAAACAAGGATGGTGCCAGATTTCTACAAAAGATGTATGTTTTAGTTGAAGTTTATGAACAGAATCATGAATCTGAAGAAAAAACATGAAGTTTCCATTTGTTTCTGCTCTTGCAAATAAAATTTGAAGACTGACTATTGACAAACAGTTATTTTGGGGGAAAAATAGTTTAACTAATGCATTTTAATAATGTACTATCTGTTCATCAGGATAGTCATCAAATATTTCAAGGGATTATTGTAGTTGTAAGTCATGCTATTTTTTACACCTTAGCTCTTGCATTACTTTTTCCATAGTAAGTCTGTAAACATACAGTATTACTTATTCTTTACTTTGTTAGCAGGAGGCCATTATCTTCTTGTGTAGATAGACTTTTGAAAACTGTAACCACAACAAAAATATTTGTTTCCATATTGACTATATCATAGAAAGAAATGTCATGTTCATATTATGAAGAAAATTGCATTTTTATCAAGATATGTATTTTGGTGCTGCTAAGGGTCTTGGCAAAAGAAGGTAAAACAATTAAACAAACAAAGCCCATGTTTGAGACAAAATATATTTGCCAAAGTCTATAATAAATGATGTTCCAAATCTGTCAGATTTGCTTAAGCATCTCTTCAAAATTCACTGAGAAGTGTTTATGTGATACAGAATAAATCTGCAGTGATGCAGTTAGCTTGTGCTTTCCTTCTTCGTATTTTTATAGTGGTCATTTCTGGATATTTCTTAAGGGAGAGTGGAACTAAGTGCTCTAAGCGAATAACATGTTTAACCTAATACCTTATCTTACGAAAAAATCTTGCTGTTCTTCTGACAATGTTTATGTTGTCCTGCTTCTCAGCAGGATGGTTGGTTTGTTGTTCATGTTCTGCTCATTAAGTTTGTGTAGATTTTTGGACACAATCCATGTACAAGAAACTTTTCGTTGTATTTGGTACAGCAGATTCTCTCTACAACTGTTGTACTGTGGACTGCATTTAGAAATCATAGTGCCTAAAACCAGCTCAGTAACATTTTAGGTTTATATAACTAGTTGGTCATTGTATGTACTTTTTCTTGATCCCTGTATAATAATTTTCAAGATGAGTTTTATTTATAGCATTTTAGCTAGTAGTTTGCAGCGTAATTTTATTCTTCTAATTAATAAAATGCATTCCTTGTCACTTTGGTATAATGGAGTAGAGTATAGCTGCAATGTACGATTTAAGTAGGTATCTGTACGTGTGTATACACATGTGCATGTATTGATTTTTGTTAATAAGATGCAGATGTTTTAAGTATGTTCTCTATAATGTATTTTTAGGATTGAAGAAGCTTCACCACCAGGTTGTGGATTTTGCCATATACCATATGATGAATTAAACATGCCATTCCCAGCTCACCTCACTTACTGTTACAACTGCAGGAAGCAAAAAGTTCCTGATGTCCTTTTCACCACAATTGATCTTCCTGTAGAGGCAATAGTTGTTGGGAAGGGATGTCTTATTCAAGCCAGGTATCTATCAAAATGTTTTCTTAGTACAGTTTTGGAGATCTTTGAAAGAATTTCTGTTGCTAAAATCCAGTATATGTCATCAGACCTTAAATTTTTATGTTGAATTGCTAGGACTTAATGACAGTGTGTTAGGGTACAGGAAGAGGACAGCCTTCTCCTCCCCTTGTGTTACATGTTATGTCTGTTGATGGACATCTGCTAGCTTACCCATGTTGCTGGACATTTGGAAAATGTTCTATTTATTTTTTTTATGCCTATGGAAACTGCTGTATTTTGTCTGCCTGACTATATGAGTTTTCATGCTTGCTGTTTGGAACTGCTAACGTAATCAGATACAGCTGTTGCACTTGAAACTCAATGAACTGTTTTAAGTCAGTTGTGTAAATTCTGTGCTGGTGTCCATAACTGAATATCATCACTGTCCAGTGTATGGTATTGTCTTTGAATTTGAATTTGGAAAAGTGATTAAGCAGGTTTACAGTGGGAAAGAAGGAAGGGTTAGCTACGTACAGTCTGTATGGGTGGTGAACTACATGGATAAAAAACTGGTTAGGTGACTAGGCTGAGAGGGTTTGTAACCTGCCTGGATGGCTATGAGATGTATAGTAGTTTGCAGTGGGACCTGTCCTGTTGAACATCTTGGTGATGTGGAGGGGATGGTGGACTGCATTCTCTTCAAGTTTGCTTTTTAAACCACAATGAGAGGGACCAGACAATATGATACCTCTGCAGTTTTGTCCTCCTCTGAGAGTAAGACAAACATCAGAAAACTAGAGCAAGTTCAGTGGAGGGCCACCAAGGGGGTAAGGAGCACCTGCCCTATGAAGTGAAGCTGTGAGTGCTGGACTTACTCAGTTTGGAGAGAGGAAGGATTCAGGGGGACCCAATAGCAGCCTGCCTAACTATGAGGAAGTTACGAAGAATATGTACCCAGGGTCTTCACAGTGCTCCACAGTGAGAGTGAGAGGCAAAAGGTGTAAGTTGAAGCAAGAAAGATTCAGAGTGCATATAAGGAAAAACTGTTTACCTGTCAGTACACTGAAGTGGTGGAGCAGATTGCCTAGGAGGTTGTGCAGACTCCGTGTCTGGGGAGTTTTCAAGACGTGACTGAGTAAAGCTCTAAGCATCCCGGTCCAAGCTCAGATTGACCCTGCTTTGACTGTACAGGAGGTTGGACTGGAGATCTCCTGAAGTCCCTTCTCATCTGAGTTTTTCTTCTATGATCTCCTGATTATCATTCTCTGACTTCTTATAGAACAGCATTACTGAAGCTACTGCAGAGATGTGTTCTGTGCTCCTCCTTTGGTATTTTTCCTATTATTAAACTCTGTGTTAAGCACCACTATGGAAATTGGCTTTTAGTGTTACACAGTGATCCCTGATCTCTCTGGAGCATTTGCAGATGTCATTCATTTTCTTTAGAATGATTCCTCAAACATTTCAAACCTCCAAAAAGAAGAAAAAAGACCTGAAGCTGTAGTTAGAAAGATTTCGAGGTGAACTTGTTATGATTGGTTGAGTTACTATGTTTTTCTGATCATATAATAAATCCAGTCCTTAGAAAAAAGTGTTCATATCATTAAAACGTTCAGTTGTGATGCGCTCTTTCTGAACGAAAATTTGTCACTGAAGGTAAGCAGTCATTACTCTGGTGTGGGGTTTGAATTTCAGCTCATGGGACTAAATCCAAAGAGTCAGAGATGGGTAATCTATGTTCTTTCTTCTTTTAAGATAAGTATTTTTAGTGTGGTTAATGCCTGAGCTGTGTGAGGGCACTTGCTTCTTTCTAAATTCTGAAATGTGCCTTTAATAACTGTATTAAAAGGAATTTTAAAAGTTCTGCCAGTAGATGTAATTTCCTGTCCTTGTACCTGAAGTATTTTAAGAGGTTTTCAGCAGCAGAAATAGATGTTTGTGTTTGCATTTGAAGGTCTTACCAGAAGAAAAGCTGTAAACACAAATTTTCAGATAAGACAGTCTCAAAAGAGTTCTTTACTTGTAAAGAACTTACATTATAAAGTTGCAGCATTCTAGAAGAATACATCTTACCTCACCGTTCTCCTACCCCCTCCCCCCCAAAAAAAACCACCAACCCAACCATTTATTAATTTTTTTTTTTTTCCCCTGACTGACACCTCACCAGTTGTGAAGCTCAGTTGAAAAAGGGTGCAGTGGCTGTCCCCTGAAATAATCTGGTTTTGTGACAGGGTGTTTAACAAATATCAGAACTTGCAATAGCAAAGAAGTTGTGTTTGTCATCAGTATTTGGTTTGGCAAATAGGAGCAGGGCAGATTTTTAACAGTCGCTGCTATATGATAGAAGTGTTAATATATTTAGCCAGCCATCTAGTAGATGGTTATCTGGAATCTGTAAAAAACTGCTTTATATTGAATAGTTATTCGGTGCTGCCAGACAAAAACCCTGTGTGATGCGTGTTGTTTCTGTTTGATAGTGGTCCTAAAGCATGTTTTTAGAAAGGAAACAATACTTAATTCAGTGATCTACAAAAATACAGTATTTGTAATTTTTGTATTCTGATTTGATAGGGAATATTTTTTAAAAGTTGCTGAAAGTTATGTATAGTTCCATGTTATAAATTTACTTTTTGTTTTACCCATTTTTATTGTTAATTATACAGTTTCCTAATAAAAATGAAAGTAACATCTTACTTAATGAGACTCAATCTGCCTTAATCTTCTTGATGACAATTTACTAATTTACAAGATTTTAAAGTACATTAAAAAGAAACTGATAGTGTTAGCTTATACAATGAGGAAAAACATCAAAATACCCTGTGATCACTTTCAGTCTTCAACAGTCCATTAAAACTGTTTATCTGCTGATGTCATATACTGTTTTGTGTTGTCAGGTTATGCCGTCTAAAGAAGAAAGCTCAAGCTGAAGCAAATGCAACATCTATCAGTAATCTCCTGCCATTTATGGAGTATGAAGTGCACACCCAACTGATGAATAAACTTAAGCTGAGAGGAATGAATGCTCTGTTTGGGCTGAGAATTCAGATCAGTGTGGGTGAAAATATGCTAATGGGGTTGGCAGTAAGTACAGTTTTAATCTTGGGATTCTTTTGCTTCCTTACAGTATTTTTTTCAGGACACAAAGACATACAAGTGTTGTGGATTTCAGAGTAACTGAAGACATTAGAATGTCATTTTAAGAATAACTTAAGTGATGGAAAGGAATGAGGTGTATAATTTTTGACAAATCAGGACAGACTCTCTTTCAGCACCAGAAAAAGAAGATTAGAATCTCTTGAAACACTATTAGAGGACAAGATTTTTAGAAAGGGAATGGGAGAATAAGAAACTTTAAATGGTTTAATGGCATGAATTATAGAGAAATGGTTGTGTTTTCTTAAAAAAGAAGAGATCCCTGTTCATCAAGTTGCATTACGGTTCCATGACAAATAAGGTCAATTAAGCCTCTCAATAAATCTTTTGGTTGGTTGAGAAAGGTCTGTTGCCTCTTCTTTGATGGCACTGAAGAAATGACAGATTGAAAGTGTCTTAGAGGTAGTCAAGAAATGTTCATACATACTTTCTAACCTCATTCTGTAATGTGAAGTATGCTGCTTCTTCCCACATCAGTGTAAGAAGATGCTTGGGTAGTATTAAATGACTTGCCTGTTCTTTTGTCTGAACTGGTGATCTGTTTACTGTAAATAGAAATGGGATTATTACAGCTTCAGTGGTGCTGTAAATGGTTGGCCAGTTTTTACATCCCTGAAACTATTACTTGCCTATGCAAAATATACTAGAGCAGAGGTTTTAATTACTACTTAGTTTGAAAATTAGGTAAGTTAAGAGCTCCACCATGGAAGAAGCCCATGAAGAAAGAGTTTATTGAAAGGCTAGCATTTTTTTTTCATACATGAACAGGACAGAGAGAGATCTCGTTATTATGGGATGAGATCATGTTGTAATGTGCATGTCATATTGCTGTCTATAAGCGTTATGGAAAATTCTATATGAAAATATTAGAATTACATGCTTATGTAACTGTCATTTTTCTTAATGACTTTTAAAAAGTCTGCAACAGGTGTGTATCTAGCAGCTTTGCCAACACCTGGTGGTATTCAGATTGCTGGGAAGACTCCAAATGATGGCACCTATGAGCAGCATATATCTCATATGCAAAAGAAAATAAATGATACAATAGCAAAAAACAAGGAACTTTATGAGATTAATCCTCCAGTAAGTAAAGCTTTATATTCTTTAAATGTTCTGAGACAAGCAGATATACACCGTAGATAGACATGAATTCTTACTGACTGAATAATTCAGAACAGAAGATGTTTTTTAATTGAGGTACAGATTCTTTTCAGTGTATTTTGGAAACCTACTGGAATTTTCAGATTTCTTGAGCCACATATCCAAGTCAGTTTGTACTTAGATTTATTTCTCAGTAAAATTATTTTCAGAATGTTCTGATTCTTAGAACTGTTAACAAATTACTTATAATTGAAATTATTTCTAAGCTACATAGAACAGCTGTTAATTTTTATATCCTTTTTAGGAGCTACCTGAAGAAATCATTGGGTCTCCTATTCCAGAGCCAAGACAACGTTCCAGGTTATTAAGATCTCAATCAGAAAGCTCTGATGAAGTTACAGAGCTAGATCTTTCACATGGGAAAAAGGATGCTTTTGTCTTGGAGGTAATACATGTTTTCAGTACTCATTTTCAAACTTCTCTTTTCCTGAGATATATATAAAAAAATGGAGGAGAGTTTTCTTACTCATCTCCAAAGACTGTTCTTAAATTGTAGTTATTTTTTTTCATTTTGTGTCAGTAGAAAACACTAATTATTGGATTTTGCATTGTCTTTCTTATTCTATTTGCTTGAAGCATACCTGTATTATGCCTGGGGACAATGTCTGAAAAAAGATTGCCTTGCTATTCATGAACATATAGCGATATCTAGAATAATAACTAAGAGCTGTTAAGAAATGCCCTTCTGCCTACTTCAAGCAGGAAAAACTAGTAACATTACCTGTTCCTATTTGATTTTCTGCTATTCATACTAAGCAAGGCTTTTAAAGTCCTGGAAAGATTTTTATGTATCATTAGAATAGGCCGAGAGTGATCACATCAGTGTAATACGTAACTTATGAGAGCTCTAGTAGCCAAAGCTAGTAGCTGCTAGTAGCCATAGCTACTTTTTCCTTAGCTGGAAAAAGTTTTCAGTTGTGTGGAAACTTTTCTTGTCTTTATCTACTGCAGTTTCTGTGTGTTATGTGCACATTGCTTTATTTTTAATGCAGTTTAATTAAGGGAACTATTTTTCAAGCGTTAAGCATATCAAGGGTTGCTAGTTGAAGTTCAGAAGTTGATGGTATCCTTTTTAAAAAAAATCTCAACTTAGCTCCCAGATACAGATCTCTTGATGACAAAGTATTTACATCTTTCTGAGACTTCTGACTGGATCAGGAACATGATTTTTATCAATTATTCTTTTTCCCAGATCGATGATACAGATGCAATGGAAGATGTACATTCTTTGCTAACAGATGTTCCACCACCATCTGGTATAGTTAAAAACATGTTTTTCTAACTTACACTGTAGGCTGCAAAATTATGAAATAGAACTGTTTTTATTTTACAAAAATAAGTCCAAAAGTAACAGTGAAAATATTGTTTAGCTAAACAGATATATCAGATATGTCAGATATATCTCTGAAAAACAAGTCATTAAGCCTTTTATGGGGATCGTTGCTTATCAAAAATGGAAATAAATGCAGTATTTCTGTGGCATTTTCTAGTTCACTGATTTGTACTGTTGCAAATTTATTTTTACTTCATATGGGTATCACAACTGGATATTTTATACTAATATACCAGTTTCTGAAGATTTTTAGACTGAATTGCTGATTTTTCAGTTTCAGGATCAGTGAAAGCAGAAGTACAGAGAACAGAATGATCTTATACTTGTAGCCATATAACATGATATATTGGTGGTGTATTCCAAGAATGTTACTTAAAGTGAGCATTTTGCCCTTCCAGCACTCTTGTTCAACAAGTACACCTGTATTTTCCTTGCTTTGCCATACTGTCAATTTAAGTCTTTGCTTTTTTTAACAGCAAAGACTACAAATGCAGTGAACACAAAGTCAAAAATTATTTGGAATTCTTAAATCACTCACAGCATTTTTATCCAAGTCACTATTGGCCTTTTTTTGTAGAAGGCAGTAAGGTCAGTTAATAGAAATAGTTACTAATTTGTTCAGTGTTTCTTATGGACAAATTTTTTAAGTGTTGTGACTTGAGAAAATATAACTGATTAAGGGGAATAATTTTCAAAATTTAATCAAGAGACTTGAAATCACTGTGTTTTTAGTTCACAGGATGAATACAAATGTTGGGGCTGCATTGCTAGCAATAGAACTTTGTAAGGTGACCATTTGCTCGCCTGCTTTTAAAAATTATTTAAGAACCCAACATAGAGGGCAGAGGTATACTGAATCATTTAATGTTTGCTTACTGATTTATGTAAGAGCGAGGGGAAAAAAAAATCCCACAGAATATCATGCCGGCAGTTCATAGTTCAACAGCATCCTGATAGAAAGTTACTGTCTTTGTAAACAGTAGCCTTTGACAAACTTTTCTGTGCATTTGGCTGTTTGCATTTTGAGCCCATGTGTGCCTTCAGTGTTCATAGAATTTTGCACCAGGACCTGTACCCTTGTAAGAGCAAGCTTCTTTACTTGGTTTGTATCAGCCACTTTTTCCTTGTATTGGGAAGAACAGTGAATAATTGTGTTGCATCAGTCATCTTTATGCTCTCTGATGTAAACTCCTGGGTCTGGATAAGAGGCTATTGTAGTTGTCCTTTATATGGAAGTTGCTCTGCACATTTGATTGTCCTTATCCTTCCTCTCTTCCTCTTACTCTTTTTGTGAGTTTCCCCATGTTTCTTCTGAACACATGCCTGTTCTCTTCCTAGTAGTTGGTATCAGTGTTTATCGTTTTGAATACTATTGTGCTCAGAACTATCCTTGTCATAGTTATTTGTTATTACCACCAAATCTTTTATTCCTCATCAGTTATCCATTGTTAGGTCCTACTGTAGTTGATTGTACTACCCTAAAATACGGCCATCAGCAGTCACCTCATTTCATCCTCTTTTGCACATAAGTTACGAATAAGTTTGAAGCATGCAATCCTGAGTTATAGATGTCTCCACTGTGAAAACTGAGCACTTATTTTGACCCTCTTTTTCCAGTCTTATAATAATTGTATATTCTTCAGTGGTCCTCCATTCTACTCTTCAGCATACTAGTTTTTTAAAGAGTTCTTGGTGAAGGATCTTATCAAATGCTTTTTGATGTCTGCAGTATCAGTCAGATGCCTTTTGTCTACATGCTTGTTGACAGCTTGTGAGCCATGACTGTTACTTAGAGAAGTAGTATCAACTCCTCTGCAGTGGCTTGTTTTTCTGTCTGCCCATGAACTCCATTTTCTGGAATAGCTTCTATGGGCTAGTAATACAGATGTCTCTACTAGGCAACTTAGTAGGTCCTGGTCACTAAAAGCACTTCTGGAGTTTAAAGAATCCTCTCCTCTGGTAGTAGGGTAATTTTTAGTTAAGAGTTCAGTGCCATCTCTTGCCTTTCCTTGCTTATATGAATCCTTATTTTTAATTTGCCTATTTCTTCAGTATTTCCTTCAGACTCTTGTTTAAGACAGGTTCTCTGATGGAAAATAAACAAAGGAGTGTTTTTCTACTATTGTGGGAAGCATGTTTTATCGTCTCTGCATATTATCTCTATAGCCTGCTTGACTCTTCAACAAGATTTCTGCTTTTGATGTTCTGAAAGAAAATTATTAATATTTATACCTTCCACAATTTCTTTTCTAGCTTATTTTATGCACTTACATAGGCCCTACCAGATTTTTGTGAATTTGTGCTCATTTAACTATTATCTTTAGATTTTCAACATTGCCTGTTTGCTGTTTAGAACTTTTCTTCCCCTGCTGTTTATTCATTATACTTATTTTTATTTTATTTTATTTTTTTTATTTTCAGGTGTTTATTAGTAGGTGCTACATATTTGCATTCAATCTTTAGATAGTATCGTTAAAAATTTCTATACTGCCTGTCAAAGGTTAGCTTTCTGACTTTTCCCATTGCACCTTTTTAGTGTTTCCTCATTTGTACATAGTTTGTCTATTAGAAAATAGGCAGAGCAGTAGTGAAATCTGGGTGTTTGTCTTTCCTACAAGAATGTTTAAGGGTATCTTGATCAGAGCTAAAAAACTTCTTTGAGTGCTTCTCTGTGCTCAGGGATTTCTTGTTTTGTGAGCTCCACAAGGAGTGGTTCCATGAAACAGTCAGGGACTTAGCATCAGATGACATAAGTTACCCAGCCTCCAGGGGGAGCAGCTCTCACTGTTACATTTCATGCCATCGTAGCCTCTCTCATGTTCCTCAACGTGATGATATTTCTGGCTTTACTTTTTGACAGTTGAAGAAATATTCAGAATAAGAATTCTGTAGTGACTTAGTGTTGTAGAAGTGGTGAGTTCTCTCTTTCCTATCCATTTTTTCACTGCAGTATAAGTAACAGAAAGCATGTTTTCTTTTGTATCTTACATTGTGTTCTTCAGGTGCTGTGTTTGTTTCTTGAGTGTTGGTCTTATTTCTGGTATTTTATTCAATTTTCAATATTACTTAAAAGTATTTCTTTATTTCAGTGTGCAAATATTTTCTTTACAGGTTTTTACAGTTGCAACACAGAAATTATGCCTGGTATAAATAACTGGACGCCAGAAATTCAAGTAAGGTTATTCAGAGAAAATGGAAACTTTTTTTTTTCCAAATTGGGTTGAAATAGGCTGTAGTAATTTAAATGTATATTAGAGATCACTGATTTTGAAAGCTAAATTAACAGGATGGTCTTGTGTTAGAAATAAAGTAGTATTTCGGTAAGAAAAGTAGGGTATGAAAACCTGTTTGTGTTTATTTTCAATGCTGTTATGTAACAGAGAACCTGGTACAAAAATTAGAAAACAGTTACAGTAAACATGAACTTTAGGGTTTGGGGCAGTTTTAAGATTTTGAAGCCTCTTGAAAGAAAAGAATTGTTGACTGTGTTACTTAGTGTGAGATACTGAATATGATAACGTTAATAGGTTGAGGTAACAATTAGATAAAGCTAATCCAATGAGTAGAGAAAAGTTCCCTTTATAATTAAATTTAAACATTTTAGTCATGTTTGTGCAGCACATTCAGTCTAATATAGAGAGAATTAAAAGACATCTAAGTGAGCTTTTACACATAATTGGCACAATGCAAGACTCTACTTTGCAGAGGCACAGCTCAAACATGAAAACAATATGACAGCACCAACAGCATACTCTTAAGTTGATGGGTTTGCCTATCTGTATATGACATTCAATTATTGTCTGCATTATTGTACACAATTAAAATACAGTTTTTGACAGCAGTTTACAAAGTATGTAGCAGGTAAAATGACTCCTTTGTGAAGCAAGTAAAAAGAACATAGTGATTATGTATGATGTGAAATACTCTTGTTGCATTAATTCACCAAAATTTGCCTTTTGTTTGTAAAATTTCATGAGCCTTTTATTGACTTGCTGTTGCTACAGTTTTTTTCCTTTTCTTTCAGTCCCTCTCCCACTCCTCCATCTCCCCTTATCATGTTATGCATTATTTGCCTTCTTTGTGAATTATATTTAAGTATAACATACAGACATATATTTGAAAAAATAAGTGTTTGTTTTTAATTCAGATGTTCACAGCAGTAAGAGTATCCAGATTAAGCAACATTAACCTAACAAATCAAACACTTAATAAGAACTTTAATGATCTCTGTGAGAATCTGTTGAAGGTAAGAATCTAATTTCAAATGGTTTTTGTGAATTGTTCACATGGAAGCAAAGTAAAACTAGTCTATACTGAAAGTAACATTTTCTTCATAATTACTTTTTGGTTTTAGACTACAAAGTGTATGTAATTAAGTTTTTAAGCTCCTCTGAAGATAGATTCAGCCTTCATAGTATATTAAGAATTTCCAAAGCTTTTCTGAATCTGAATGAGTCATTTGACTGGTAGTGTATTCTAGAAACAGAAATATAAAGACTGCTACACAGTAGATTGCATTTTATCTTGACTTTTCACACCTGTAATTCTTCTTCAAGAAAAATTAATATGATTAGATGATTTCTACTATGAAGAGAGTTTTGATCTTTAATTTCTCTGAAATAAACCATACAATTTTTAAAGTAAAACAACTAATGTCCTGTCTTCAACAGAGCTTGTATTTTAAACTACGATCTATGGTTCCCTGCTGCCTTTGTCATGTAAATTTTACAGTTGCTCTACCAGAGGATGAGTTAGTACAGGTAAGTAAACTGCTTCTTTTGACTTTCAGCATGTAGACATGCCAGTTTTGGCCTTTAATTAACATTTGCTGCTCAAATTGGGCTAGGATTTTATTTACTAGTTTATCTGGTGAATTTTGAAGTAAAACTTAAGGCCATAATGCTTGGTGAAGAAAAAGGATGACCTACTGAGTTCAGTTTTTGAAAATCATGGTGCTATGTGGCATTTCATGAGCACAGTGCATTTTAATAGTGGGTATCTTTTTAGTTAGATAGGAAACGAAAAGCCATGATTAGATATCCATTAAAAGGTGTTACCACACACATTACAAGAATATGGCACACTGGTTTTCTAAGTATGTTGTCATTATAACTGTTTAATTTTTTTCTTGCCATTTCAAGATGATGCGATAAACTTAATTATTTTTAAAGAAAATGTTTTCATTGGAAGTATATAGCATTATTCTTATGTTCATTTAAACATCTCTTTCTCTCTCTTACAAATACAAAAAAGAACCATAGTAACTCATTAAAATTGTATCAGTTCACCAAGAAAGAAGGAAAGAACTAATGAAGAAAATCATAAATGTGAGACAAACACTGTCAGGTGTATGTTCTAACAACTGACCTTAGTATTACCTTTTATGCTCTGCCGTTAAATGTTTTTAATATATCTACTTAGATTATTTTCCCCCTATTATATTCCTATGGAAAAACCTGGCTTGTTTGCAAAACTATTTTTGCAGATCGCACAAGAGATTAAGTTACCTAATATGCCATATATTTCTGATTTTGCAGATTGCAGTCACAGCTGTTGCAATTACGTTTGACAAAAACCAAGCATTACAAGCCAACAAAGCCCCTATAGGAAAATCACAGCAAAGAGGTAAATGTTGTGGGGCATGTAAAAATAAGAGATAATTTTTCTTTCCTTCCCCCCCACCCCCCCCCCCCCCCCTGAGTCTGTATTTTAATTTCAGTTACATGTACACATTTTTATGGGGCAATTCTATAAAATTGTAAAGTCATAACAGAGTTTTTTAAGGTTCATACATGTGACCTCCAGCAGGATGACTAATGACTAATTACTACTAAGTATTAGATATTTGCTTATGTTATCAACAAACTTGGAGTAACATGAAAAATATGCTTGTAATTTCCTTCTTGCATGTTCCATCTTTCTTGGAATATTTTTCTCTAAAGAATCAGTGTAACAGATGATGATATTTCCATTGTATTTTGAAATATGTGGTATAAGTAATTAGAGAGTATTTATTCTTATAAGTAGCAAATTTTATCCTCACTTCAAGAAGGCAGAAAATAATTTATTCATAATACTTTAAAAAACACCTCCAGAAAACCCTTAAGTAGGTCAGTAATATTTTTGGAGATCAGTGAAGCATTTAGCATTATGGAAGAAATAGAAGAGAGTACTGCAATCCGCATATGTCATTTTGCTAATGAAGTGCTATCTTACGCTCAAAATGTATGTATGCAATCTGGTTATGGGAGTTTAGCCAGAACTTAGAAGATACTCCATTCTGAAGAATGGAACTAGGCACTTGAACAGAGACATGTTTCTAAAACAGAAGTTACACCTTAATTCTTCAATAGTAACAGTAAATTATTTGTTTTCTATTATGTGAAATACATAAAATGTTATTTTTTACTGTAAAGTATAGCTAACTCAGATCCTACTGCAGGATCAAATTTAAAATGCATTAATTGACTTAATTTTTTTTTCTGAAAATACTAAATCAAATCCCATTCAATGGAACACAGGTTCTATTCAATTTATAGCTGGATTTATTGTCAGACACCTAACTGTTCGTACAGAACTGCATCACTATATGCTTATGCTAAAAAAATCTGTTCCAGTCAGACCTGACTAAACTGAATCTCTAGCGCTTATTATTACTGGCAAATCTTATTTTGGAGGTTAATTATCAGTTGGGTTTGTTTTCTTTGTGGAAGCATCTACAGATAATGAGGAACAGCTACAGTTTCCATTGGAACTTTCCTCTGATACCCTTGCTTCTCAACCATTCTCACCAGCTAAAGGTCAGTTAAATGGAAGAATGCTTTTTTCCTGATTTTGAGTTCTGCTTTCATTGTTTCAGTAGCTTTAAATATCTGTACTTTCACATATATTTAAATAATCTTTCCTACCTAAGCATAATTGGATATGTTCACTCCTGAAGTCTAACTTTTTGAGAGTCTTGTAAGATGGGTTGGCTAATTCTTCTGTATATATTCTTTGTAGATTTCTTGTAGTTCTTCTATCTCTGCATTTAGAGTATTGAAAATGCTGCAAACCACTGGATGTTAGGTGTTACTTGACTTACAGAATTATAAATTACTTAATAATTAGGCTTGCTTTATACTGCTCTGCTTCTGTAAGTGGCCTATATAAAATAACTCCATGCATTGTTAGCCTCAAATAATTAATCTTGTCATTTACATGGAGGGAAATACTTTATCTAACAAATACTGGTTATTCAGCTGAGCAAAATTGCGTGCAATTATTTTTTTTTAAGTAAAAGGAGCCCAAACTTGCATAGTAAACAATTTGTGCAGTGCAGCATGTTTTGGCTGTTAGGCAGCTGCTTTATTTCACCTGAGATGGAGCTGTATTTCAAGAACAGTTGTCACAGTTACTTCTGTGACTATATTAAAGGTCATCATTCACTGAAATCAGCTGGTGTTACTTCCTTCTCCATTGTTGTATTATCTACCCACCAAAATGGCTAGTGATGGGAAATTTAGTATCTGTGAATTATTGTAAATGTTCTTATACTACAATGCTAAAAAGCTCCCTTTTTTTGCCCATGACATAAGCAGAATAAAGGAGGGTGCCTACCACATTTACTTGTATTTTCAGAGGTCAGTTTAATTTCTGCAACAATATTCTTACTGCTTAGTATTTTATTTTTTTTTATTATGTGTGCTTAATGTTTCACTGGTCACATTATGATACTTCTAACCTTTCATTTTCAAAATGGGACTATCCAGGAATTTCTGACTGGTGTCTTTTTCACTGTTACTAGACTGTGCTACTTGTATAACAGGCACTGACCAGTAGAGGGTAGCCTGTTCACATACATAACCCTTCCTGATGTTCTTTACATTCTATATTGTACTGTACATCACTTTAGAGGTTTTCACTTAGATAATTATTTAATCTGTCATTTCTTCATAAGTAGACTCAAGGTTTCATTGTAGTCACATTTACTTAGCAGCTTATTTAATATATTGATAACCTTTTAACATACTTTTCTGTAAGATTATTTTAAAAATATTTGTATACAACCTTACACAGTAATGACCTTTAGTAAATTATCATACTGTAATTTGCAATACAGATTTAGTAAAGTTAAATTATTTATAGCAATTTATTATGTGCTATCAAAGTACATATTGTAGTATATATAAAGATTTTTTTTCCTCGTATTTTACTCTAAAAAAAAAATTATAAGAAGAAAGCTGTTGTCCTGTACTACATGACTAATGTAGTTAATGTAATGTTAATGACCTATTAGAGAGCAGTGTAGGG